TGGGCTGGCCATGCAGGGTCCCTTACCAAGACCCCCAGAGTACCTCAGGGGCACCCATCAGGGGCACCTGCCAGGTTAGCATGCACTTTCTTGGTACTAGCATTTACGTAGGATTTGCAGAGAAGGGGAAATAGCAAGGTGTTTCAAAGCATTCCAAAGAAGAGGAGGGACCACAAAGCCCTGGGGCTCCCAGCGGGGCTCCTATAGCCAGCCCAAAACTGGCCCCAGGACCTACAAAGGGCTGCTCCTGACAGGCCTGTGGGTGAGGCCAGGCCCTGCACGTATGGCTATCCCTGTACATCACAGCCCTGCTAGAGAGGAACACTTAGCATCTCCCACCAAATAGCTGAGAAAGTGAGGCCCACAATGATAAGCAGGCAGAGCTGGGATTCCCACCCAGTCTGACTCCAGATGAGCCTTGAGTGCCGAGGAGAATCTGGACAAAACATGGTAGCAGGGCTGGAGTGCTGGGGGCATGACTTAGAGAACAGCATTAGAGGGGCAGGTCCCCCAAAAACCAACACAGCTCTGCACAAAAACACATTCCACAGGGCAGTCAACCAGAGGAGCCCTAAGGAAAACGGCAGTCACTTTGCAGCCACCAGTCCCATGCATCCAGGGTTCCCCATCTGAGAGGGGCAGCCCCACAATACTGAGAAAACATCAATATTTCATGGGCAGCTCCCTCCTGCCCTCCGATCATGTTTTCAATTGTCATGAAACAATTCAGAATTTCCAACTCAGGGCTAATAGGCTGCTGTCAGCCAGTCAGCCAGAGCAGGCACAGGTAATTATTTTAAAAGCTTCCGGCAGGGTAGTTCACTGTACTGGTTCCCCAAACTGTCTGTTTGCTGTAGTTGCTGTGCCCCTTCAGGCCCTGAACACCCTGTCTCCCCACACAGCAGTAGACATCTGGAAAGCTGCTGAGGCACAAGCCACAGAGCCTGTGAGCATGAGAGAGGCAGACCAGGCCTCCAGAAGGGCAAACTGAGGCCCTCTAAGGGGAAGCTGCAGAAAGCAACGGCCTCCACTTCTTACCTTTGTATTTCCCATGTCAAGCTGTAGCCTCCTGTGTTTCAGGCAGATGAATAAACTGACGGACAAAGAGAAAGATAGATGGTATGGCTGAGTGAATGATGTTGCAATAATCTGCTCTTATCTCACCTCCTCAGATTCATCCTCCACTACCCAGATTGAGTGATCTTTCTAAAATATCAATCTGACTAGATCTCTCACCGTTTAAACCCTTCACCTGCTCCTCTTTGCCTTCAGGAGACTATCCCACCCTCCTAACAAGGATTGTGAAGCTCTGTGGTATCTGGTTCCCAGCTAATTCTCCAACTTCCTCTTCCCCCATTCTCTGCCTTACTACCTGTCTCAGTACTGTTCCCAGGGTGGGCAGGGGGTGGGGATGGAGGGTAAGGATGTTCCAGACAAACTCAAGGCCTGTATATCACTCATGGCCCTTCAACACCAGGCAGATTTCTTCTCTAGCATTGTGCTCCAGGTTTGGTTATGGGTTGCTGTGTCTGCCTCCTTGTCTCAACCTAAATGAGCAGGAGCCACCTGTCTTTGTATCACTGCAATCATAGGCACAGAATATGTACTCTCTAAACTTCTACTGACTTGACAGAGACCAGTTCAGAAAGTTCCAGACCAGGGTTTTTTCCATTATTCCATGTAAATGCTGATAGGCCTGTATTTGAGCATGCCCAAATGGTTTCTATTTTTGCTTTTGCTGCCAGGAAGCTCAAAGTACAATATAATAATACTCAAATAAATTAATAACTTACCTGATCTGAGGGATTCCTCTCTACTTTTAGAGCCTTTAATTCCCTCCTCACAGATGAAAAAGGAAGTACAAATAGATGCCCTCCCTTAATCTATGGATCCATCTCTCTGGATCCATGGTAAGTCAGTAGACTCTGAGCCTCCCCTCAGACATTCTGGTAGTTCTCCACCTCTTCCTATAGATGAATGCAACAACAATCCTGATGGACTTCAGACTCTTCCAACAGAGCCAGCGCCTCCCCATCACATTGGAGTGAACTTCTTACCAACACCAACAGCAGCCCTCTGAGAACTTCACAGGGCAGAGACTGCACTGGGAACAACCCATTTTGTGCCACCAGCAGCTCAGAGAACTTGTTCCAGGACAGCAGCCAGTATTCTTGGGGGAGTATGGTGACTATTCCCTAACAAGGTGGTGCTCCCCATCCCATCTTTCTGAGGTGAGGCCTGTGACCTTAGCCTGGCCAAACACAGACTTGAGCCACTTCCCCACAAAGTGACTGGTTCAGCAGTGGGCATGTGAGCTGCACCCAGCCAATCAGCAAAGCTAAATCCCTTTGCCCACCCTAGGAAGGGTCCTGTGGTTGTCAAAAGAGGCTCAGCCCTGCTCTCAAGGAGCTTACAAGTGGTAGGGGCAATAGGTTTTAATCAATCATTACACAAATACTGATTTCAATACTATTGCAATAAGAGTTATGAAGGGAAAGGATGTTCTCTCTGCTTTTACTGGATATTGACAGAAGAAATGCTGCTTGAAGAACTGTTATGCCTTTCTACATAACTGTGGCTGAAGACACTTGCCCATTATTTTTAATTTTAACCTATGTAACAAATTCATCTCAGAGTTTTGTACCAGGGAGAAAAACTTCTGATTAGAAGGAGTGTGTCATTTTGAAAGGAAAGAAAAAGTAAATGTATCAGACAATTCTGATGACTTTTTTTGACTAAGTACCTGTAAGCTCAAAGCTAAAGTGATATTCAGGCACAAGGATGGTGTCACTTCTATTCCTGGTGGATCCAGCTCCAACCTTCCTCGCTCTGATGCCTGATCCCTCTGCCTTCAAAGTAGAAATGTATGTGCCCAAGATGTCAAAACCTAAAGGGAAATTGTGAAAAATTCTTCTTGGAAGAAGCAAAAATAAGATTATAAAAAGTATATTTTGACCTACCCCGGTTCACCAAGAACTTCTAGGCTCTCAAGCCCTAGTCCCACTCCGTCTCACCCTACCTGCCTGCACAGCTTCCCTAATCTGAAACTTCCAAGCAGCTAAGCAGGTGATGAGGGGCAGGTCTACTAAATCAGAGAATGGGCCTGCTCTTGCCTGATTCAACCACTGTGACCACCCTGGGGAAAGAATGAAACAAAAAAGAAAGCAAACTATTTTAAAGAGCAAAGCAACCCAGCAGGTATCACCACTTTGAGGTGGGGAGGGGGGCGCTGCCCACCCCTATACCAGGCCACACCCCTTACCTCCACCATCTCCTAGATTTCTCAGTGAGGTGAAAACTCTTCTCCCATTTTACAGTAGGAAAAAGCCAGGAGAGGTTAGGGGTTTGCCCAAGACCACATAGCTAGTAAAAGACACATATAAGATTCCGACTCTGACCATCGGGTCTCAGAGGCAGCTTTTTGGCACCGCAGGCTCTGCCTGGGAACAAGGACATACAGAGAATCACATACATATGCCCAGCCATCGCTGGGAACAAACCCCAGAAAATCGCTGGTGTGCAGAGGTAGAAAAGTTCAGTTTCCTGATGCAGGCATCAGAGTGAATGCCACCCCAATTAGACACGTGTCTCACTCACCACATATAGTAAGGGCTCAGCGGTTACATTTATGCCCAAAGATGCTGGGGCACCTGGAGTGTGGGGGAAGGCTGTCTGAGACAAGGTCGGAAGCATCTCACCTTAGCAGCCTGCAGGCCCAGACCCACCAGCATAAGTTTCACACTTAAAATAGCCCACATCGTGGCAGTGGGAGAAGCAGAGGCTGGAATCCTGAAGGGCAGAGTCCAAACTGAGTTTGCACTTCTGCCAGGTTGCCTCAGGTGTAGGTCTAAAATCTCAGGCATCAGGAGCTCAACTCTTAACCCTTACGGCTCTGATTGCACCAAGCCCCACACACCCACCACAAAGGTGTTCCTACTGTTGAGGGTGGGGAAGAGGCTGTGAAGTCCCCAAACAGCAGGACAGGGTGCAGGGGCCACCTTACTGGCCTAGCGCCACGGCCTCTGTGAGCCTGGGTCAGCCTGCTTCCAGCTTTGAGTGTTGGGATGAGGTCTTGGAGGTGCAGGCGACAGGGCACCAAAAGCATGGAGCCCTGGCCTCTCCTGCAGCAGCTGTCAGGAAAGCCAGGCAGGGAGGCGCCGCCAGTGACGGCACCTCATGAAACATTGATGCCCGGCTGCCACACTGCCATCTCCCGGCACCTTGAGCCAAAGCGGCAACCCTGAGCCCCTTGGTCATGGGGGCAGCTGCCCCTGTCGCCGAGGGTGGTCCCTGACAGACTGCCCGCTCTACTCTCGGTCCCATTCCACGGCCCCAGCAGCAGGCTCAGACTGGGCACTTGGTGGAAGCAGGAGACTGTGCCCAACTGGTTTCCCCCACAAGGCTTCTCATGGAATATCAGGCCGAGAGTGGAGAACCTGGTTGCCTGCAGATGGAACCCAGTTCCCCTAAGTCTGTCCCATCTCCCAGTAGCCACTTGCCAGGGACAGGCCAACCAGGCCACATGTGGAAGGGCCAAGCAGGACGACCACAGGAGGGTGTGCAGGCAAGAGGCTGGACAAGGGGCCAGAGGCCTGTCCTCATGGGGTCGGTCTCCACTTTCCTCATCAGCCCTGCCCCTGAGGAAGATGCGGGGTGGGGGGGTCCTCCAAGCGGGGCAGGTCGGGTGGTTGCCCCTCCCCAGTAACCACCGTCCCCCCAATATGAAGAGAAGCCCTGGGGTCTGTCCTCAAACCTCCTTGGCTGCCAAGCTCTGGCAGCGCATTCCCTCTACCAACATGCAAGACCAGCTCCCTTCTGCAGGCTGAGCAGAAAGGGGAAAGGGCCGACTCTCAAAACCCAGGGTAGACCGTCACCTGGCAGGACCCTGGGAAACTCCGACCAGACCCTGACTAAACTGAAATCGGCCTCGGCCCCTCACGTGCCAGGTGGGAAACTGAGTCCAGGGAGAGAAAGTGCGCCGGAACACGGCGGGGACCCGCAGTGGCTTCGACCGCATGCGGCCGAGTCCCTCCTCCACGCGTGCAATCCCGGGGCGCGCTCATCGGCCTCCAGCCCGGGCCACGAGCCGCGCCGACCCCTGCCTGCGCCCCGAGGGAGGCCGGGACCCCCAGCCTGCGGGATTGCGCGCCGCCCCCTCCCCGCTGGTCCCAGCGAACGCCTCGCTTCCCCTCCCCCTTCCCGCCTCCCCGGCCCGTCGTCCCCGCCCTTCCCCGCCGGGCCGACC